TCTACTCTGTTACATGGGATCAGTACATTAGATATTGACTGTAAGGCATGTAGCAAAATAATTTCTGAGGAGATCTGAAGTGACTTTAAAAAGTTCATAGAAAAATGAAGTGAGGAGATGCAAATAAAAAAGATAAACTCCATTTCTCAATATAAGCTACCAAAGCCAAGATACGTTTGTAAGTGCTGATACCAGATGTTTAGTCCATCACTAAAGAATCGAGACTCTTGGGCATTGAACCATGTCAATGGAGTCTTTTTCACATCATTAATGGGATGCCTAATGATTTCCCACAGAAACTATAGAGAACTTGCCCATGTTTGATGAGAAGAATGAGCAGGACCATTGTCCTGGTGGCGAAAGACTCTCTGGTGACATTTTCCTGCTAAAGTGTTGTCTAACTTTCTAAAACCATTCTTTGTCCCCCAGGAAGTCCAGGAACAAAATGCCTTCAGCATCTCTCCAAAATCGTTGCACAACCTTTACTCTTGACTGGTCAGCTTTGATGGTACCTTATTTTCGGGCTCTTACGTTTAAAGTGATGTTTCATCTTCCGTTACAGCTCTTCCAAGAACTGCTTCAGTATCTTGATCACAATGTTTGACATTTCCATAGAAAATTCCACTGTTGTATGCAGCTTCCCTGGATGCAATAGCTTTGGCATGCATCAAAAGGAAATTTGCTCACCTTGAATTTTTCAGTCAGTCAACTGGACAATTGAGAACACTTGGTGTAAACGGAACGACAGCTCGGTGCTAGCTATTGCTTCATAAGGGCAAATTGATGTGGATGGCCTGCCAGTGCAGGCTGCATTTTTAACACCATCTTGTCCTTGCTTAAAATGACCTCTGTAAACAGTTGACTTCTTTAGGACATTGTTCCCACAAACTTTTTGTAAAGCAGCAATGATTTGACCATTCTTCCACCCAAGCGTCACCATATATTTGATGCTATTCTTACTCCAGTTTTATCCGAACTCATGTTGCTCTGATAGGAGCTCTTTTTAAAGCGTCTGCCTTCTCTTTCTTAGTGCCTTTAGTTGGATCCTGTTCATCCATTTATAATGGGATAATGAGTTTATTTTTGTGCAAAAAATGGTCAAATCTATGAATAGTTTTTTTCCCCACAGTGCCCATTTTCCTTGAACTTTGTGAAGACCTCTCATATATGTAGGGCTCTGTCCACTGTGAAATGCTGTTTCATGTGCACTGTTTGTTCTTGCTCCCCAGTTGTGATCATGTGTGCGAGCAGCGACACCATCCGGAGCATCATGCTGGCGGCACACCGGCACGGCATGACCCATGGAGACTACGCCTTCTTCAACATCGAGCTCTTCAACAGTTCTTCCTATGGTAACTCTCGTTCCAGTGCCTTCTCCTGCCAGTAGCATGTCTACGAGGGGTTGTGGGGAAGAGTCTCTGATTTGAGTTATGAAGATAGATTTGCTTTCTCTAACTACCATTTTAGAAATGTGTGGTTCTCTGAGAATGAATCTAGAGTAGAAGATATGGTGTCTCATGATGCCCAGAGCTGCGTCTGGGGGTGAGCAGAGCCAAGAACTTATCAAGGCCCAGAAGCCCTTTGCCCAGAACTTTTCTGTCATCGGGTGGCTCCCATGATGGACTATTAAAATAAGTTTATGGAGCTTTGGTCAGCATATGGTGTATATATATATTTTAATAGAATGGGTTATACTAAAACCTATGGATGAAACCGAATTGGTCTTGCCAAAGCTTTCACATGAGCACATGTATTATTTCACAAAACTTTTATCTGAGTAATATAATTATATGCTTTATGCATACACGTATGGACACATATACGCATATGTGGAATGAATTGCAATGTAAAAGAAATTTCTTACTCAAAGTTCAAAACAATAACAACAACAACAACAACAC